TCTTGCAAACGCAAGCGAAACGACCCGTGCACCTGCTGTTTATTGTTCAAAAAGAGGATGTCAGCCAGATACATGCGTAGGCAGTGCGCAGTACAGGTGGATAGAAAATGCGTCGCTTCTGCCACACGGTGAAAGATAACGCCGCCTGGCCACGACAGCAGAGCAATAACGGAAACTCGTCAAGATGCTATTTCCAGCTATTTATAACAAAAATTTTGAGTTTTTGTTTTAAAATCAAAAATACATTTTGGGTTTTTTGTTTTTTTTCTTAATATGTTTGCTTTTTTTCGGCATTCATCTTAGGGTCGGACAAAAAAGTATGCCTTTATCACGACGTATGTTGAAGGAGCTAGAATTCGGGAATGGGATTTTCGAACCTTCAGGGAACATGCGGGTGGTCCGTATACTCCAAAAACGTCTCGGTACCGACATGAGAGGGAAGCAAGATGCGGGATGCGGTTCGGAAAAAAGAGTAGAGAGCTTTAGTAGATCGTTTCGGTCTCTCCCATCACTATAGCCGATACTCCGCCCCCGCCTTTTCGCATGCATCGTATCGTTATCGGGTATTTTAATTGAGCGTAGCGGAGGTATCGGAACGATCTACTTAAACCCTGCAGGCTTTGTTCAGGTAAGATCATGCACGCTAGACCGGAGTATTTTTTGTTTTGTTGATTTCTTTTTATTTGTTTCTCATCGACATGTGTAGGAAACGTAATAATAAAAAAAGATGTTGCAGAAAACATAATATTTGAGGATAAAACAAAACAAAAATTGAGTGCGCCCGAACGTCATATTCAATTTTTGAAGTTCTCGTTTATGCCATGTTTGGGGATACCTACAAAGCACAGTGAAGAAGTTCATTTCTAGATCACTAACTTTGAGAAGGGTGACCTTGGCAACGATACTTTTCACTCTCTCGAAAGCTTGGTTGGCGGTTGGCATCAAATGGAGTGGCGCTGCTTTTACTTCGGTGGCCGGCAGGGGGTCGTATAGGGGCTCGCAACTTGGGCGCGCTGTGGTATAAAGCGTCGATGAACATCGAGGAGTCCGAGAAATTCCCTAAGTTTCTTTGTCGTCGGGGGCTGTGGAAAGCTTTGGATGACTGCAACTTTCTAGGGTAACGGCTGAATTCCACGGCTATCAACGTTGTGGTCAAGAAATTCAAGTCTGTTGACGCCGAATTCACTCTTGGTTGGATTAACGCCGAGTTCGTATTCTTGGAAGCGCGAGAAGAGTTGTCGCAGATGTTCGGCGCGTGCTCTTCCGGAGTGTTGCTGAATACAATGATGTCGTCAATGTACGCGAAGGTGAAGGACAAACATCGGAGGACTGTCTACGAAATATTGGAAGGTTTGTGCGGCGTTGCGGAGGCCAAAGGGCATTCGCGACAACTCGGACATTCTAAACGGTGTGATGACAGCCGTCTTGGGAATGTCTGCCGGTTCTAGGGGGATCTGCTAGAATGCCTTGATAAGGTCCGCTTTGCTGAAGACCTTCGCTTCCTTTAGAATGCCACCCACAAGACTCACTTTTGTTAGCCGCGACCTCGACAAATGTACGCACGTGTTCGTTCGGCGCGATGGTGTGAAGAAGCCCTTGCAGCCCCCGTATGACGGCCCTAATTTAATACTGCGTCGAGACAACTAGAACATGGCGCTCGAGGTCTAGAGTCGAGAAGAAACAGTCTCTCTGGACAGAGTCAAGCCAGATCACTTAACACATAATTTCTACTCCTTTGGAACTACACGCCTTCCAAAGTCATCTTGCATCAGGTTCCAGATCAACACCAGCCTGCACACGCATCCCCTCGAAGTCCGGAACGCTCGGCAGTCCGCTCCCTCGCTAGGGGGGAGTATCTGTAGCGCGACAGCTATCCAGCGCTTGAACGGCGCCAAGCTCACGGGACAGGCACGAGCTAAGGACACGAGGTACCTGGACCACTAGCTGCACGGACTCTGGGATCAGGCCCCTCGATGAGCTCGTCAAAGTACAGTTGGTACAGTGTAAATAGTGCAACTAAATATGCAAAGTGAGATCCACCGGGCCTTCACTTCTACACATCTTTAAAAACTCAAGGGTATTCTTGGGCACATTTTCTTTTAAACACAACCTGATCTTTACCAAACTTAATAAAATCGTGAGCAGCGCTATGTTTGTAACTGTAATTACCATTTTGGTAGTTACAGTGAAAAAGTGAATTTTCCCAGAGTATAAAGTGGAAATGACAATAAGCCTTTAAAGATCTAATATAATCAATTTTTTTACATTCTTAAGAGGTACAGAGTTGAAAAGACTAACATGAATTTAAAAAAAGAAAACAAACGATTACACACAAATAAAAGTAGAAAAAAAAACAGAAAACCTTTTAGTTGAACTCGTTTTGTGCAGATGATATTTATCAGCGAGTAATTTGGTTAAGATTGTTCATTTCAACTGGCAAAACGTTTGATGAACAGCTAAAGCTTCAATGGCAGCCAATTGAAACATTGCACTGTTGTAGATGTTACGTGATGACAGTAAAATAACATTATAATTAAAAAGAGCTGAGATGCGGTTGTTTTAATGCTCGATCTGCGAGAAATGAAAGAACATTTCTGCACCAGATATAATTACTGTCAATATAACACAAACCCTCGGATCACAGCCAGCATTTTGGGACGTCACATGGAATTTTGCCCTGCTGATCATAAGCCATCTACAATACCTAATTAACACTCTTAATATTGAGCATAGATGTTCAGCAGTGCACGCTTTAAGGCACGAAAATCAAAAAATATAATAATAATAATTTCAATGGCGTCTACATGTGGGCGAAAGAGTTAAACATCCGGCATAAAACACTTTTTTTTCTCTCTCGTCCAAAACATTTTGTTGCAGCTACAACAATGCAATAAAGGCAAGACATTGCCAAAGTGGAAGCCTCGGGGTCCGATTTGCTGAACAGGCACAGGAGCTTAATTCCTTTCGTTTTGGATAGCATAAAGGAGACTGTTTATTATTTCAACTTTGCAGCGCGACAGGTGACACGGGCGACATGGAGAACGAAATTCAGCTGTGGGGTAAACGGAAATGCAGATTATCGGATTATCCTTGAAGTTAAGTCCCGCCAGTGAAATCCGTACGGAGGACGAAACAAAGAAACTGTTCGATCCCCACCCCCTGCCCGTTTCGGCCTGGTTGAGTTTCGTTCCGGCACGTGTTCGTGTAATCACTACCGCGTGGTGCACGTTAAAGATATCAGGTTAAGGGGTGTCCAAACAGGACACTACAAAACGCACGACTCCGACAAATCGTGAAAATTGAAGCGGGCTTGAAGCGGGCGCGTCCGCTTCAATTTTCACGATTTGTCGGAGTCGTGCGTTTTGTAGTGTCCCGTTTGGACACCCCTTTAGCGATTGTTCTACACTGGCGAAATTTCTCATCGACAGCTCAGAGACAAGTCACCCGTTGAGGCGTACTATCATCAAGGCTGTCTAGACATATAAGCAACACAATTTTAAACAAAGAAAATCGCCTAGAAAAGCAAAGCATATATTACGAAATACATCACGATTCGCTGTGAAAGCATCTGCTAAGTTGTTCGAGCGCATCATCACGCTCGCCCACAGATTTTTGCGCTGTTTTGATCCCATCTCTTCTTCCCCAGTTGTTCTCTTCGATATAGAGGGAAATTTACGCCGTTTTCAGTGGCGTATGTAGTGCCATTGGTAACAGAACAATAACGAACTACCACGTCGCGTCCGAAATCAAGCGATCACGCTGTACCCCTATGGCGCGCGCGATGTAAACAAACCTGGCATTCTCACACTCCGGGTATACCGTGACATGCCGGTGCTGCTCAGTGGCGCCCCCTAGCGTGGGACACAGCATCTACTATGTGACACCAAAGAGGAAGAGAGAAAGGTAAACGCAGTTGGTCGCCCTCAGTTGCCTGCTAGCCGTGATCTCCAAAGTCGCCTCTATCGTCGGCTACATGCCTACAACTGGATTCACCTGGCGCTCCATGAATTCGTTTTTGGTGGTGAGAACGGCGCTGCACCCTTTGCAAAAGACCTATTGATTATTCCTTCATTCTGATTGTCCCAGCATACCTATGCCTGCGATGACCTGCACTATATTGTAAATAAACATAAACATGTATCAATCACTGATGTTTTCTATGGTCCGCGGTCGCTGTTTCTTCTATACGCTACTCATTTCATATCGACTCATCAAACTGGCAATAATAATTGAATAAATTACTATAAAACAAAACTTTTTGCTTTGTTTCTGCTGCTTGGCGACGTTTTGACCACGATGACATTATAGTGCCATCATGGTGCCTCTGATATGGAAATGGGACTGCCATTATTTGATCATACTATACTCCGTTTCACCTGATGTTGTACCGCAGACAAGGCTGGAAGCGTGAGCTCATAGCGTTGGGAGCTACTTTTAACGCACGAGAGCTTGTGCCGCCAAGATGTGCCCTATAGAGCAAGGAGCTCGCGCATTTAGCGTTTCCTGCGGTACATCATAAGGTGAAACAGAGTATACAAGAGGGAACGAGAGCTTGCCTTGAGTATTCCTCAGCGAAACACACGGCAAGGCCGATGAGCCTTGGCAGGCTACGACTGCTGCCTTTACACACCGGGCAGCTGAAAACATTCCAATCGTTCAAACATACCACCGGGGACGCAGAAAGAACGCTTGGCGATGCGCGGGAGCGCCCGCTGACTCTATAAAGCAATACGGCGCGTGCACTCCGATAAAATAACAGATTTTTTCCTCCGGCGGCTGTGTACTCGATCGCAACTTTTGAGCCGCCTCCAACGTCAGCGTAAGACCTCGCGCTCCGGGATAATTTCTCCGCTACGTGCTGAGGGACGCGTGAAGGTTCGAGGACGCCGAGCTTAGCCCCTTTCACTCCTTCGCTTTGTTTATCGGCGGAAGCATCTTAAGCGAAGTTAGCAGTCGGCAACGTCCCGGTCCAGTCGCAGTCTGCGAGTAGACGACGACACTGTGACATAGAAGAGGAAACTTTTTGCTTATACTGGCTCTGTGACGTGCGGGCACCGGTTTTCGCACAGCACGCCACGATGAGCGGCTATCTGGAGGACCTGTCGGAAAGTCAACGGGCAGCTCTTGACCGGGTACGTTCGCTGCTTTCAGATCTCCGTTTAACCAACGACCTAAATCACCAACTTCTGCGAAGCCACGCGGTTACGCCATATCGCTGAAGATTTTTACTAAAGACGCAACTCTGATTGTATATATCAAGTTCTGTATTGATGTAATCTTTCAGGCGGCGAAAGAGAACGTTCACCCGCTGATATTCTTCTTTTTCAACTGCTCTCGTTTTTCGAGAAGAGGATAGTTGTGATGTCCATTTGGGGTTCAATCCCATATAGACTTTGATCTCAACTGGTTTGCATCGTACTTTCTCGTGCTTACATATTCGACTTCGCTCCCACTTAAAAGAGAAACTGGGCATGATTTCTTTCCTAGAAAGGCTCAACGACCTCCTACTAAACCACATCGTATCAGCAAACTTTTACCGGCCGCTGCCAATCTTCGTATTTGTGTTATGAGTTAATTATATTTTATCCGCACCGTGCTTGCCATGTAACTCTCATACCTTTTTATTTTATTTATGTTTTACTTTTTCTCTTCATTTTTTTCTGTTCATTTTATTATAATTTCTTTTATTGGAGAAACGGATCTTTTTCACACTAGTAAAGACATCAAACTTCTCTCACACCTAGGGTTTTGGACTTAATCCGAATTTCGAATTGGTTAGTCGGTGAACAACTACTTGATCAAATAGCCCGTCTATTTAGGGGGTTGATAACATTTATGTAATAATGCTAAATTATACAGCATGCATTGTGAGGAATACAGTTACTGGTATTCGCATAGCCTTAGCAATGCAGGAACAGTGCGTTTCAGGAAAGTAATTTCATTCCTTTATTAATGTATTTGCCATATACTATAAGGTCATATATAGGGGCTGTAGCAGAATTTTAAAGAAATTAATAAATCCACATTTTCAATGACATCAATTCAACAATAACTACGTATACATTACACCAAACTTTAAAAGTTAGAGATTCGAAACAACGAACCGAAGAAGGAATATTCAACCGCGGGAAGATTGGCAGCAAAATAGAGTATAGATGTATGACAAATTTAGTTATATTTGTTGAGGCTGACATTGAGTCCCAAATCTGCCGAAAAAGTATAAAACTGGTTATCATAATAAAAAAAAAAACGCTCTACAGGCAAAAATGACAACAGAAAAAGTTGCTTATACTCTACTGGTCTTATGATGAATATCAGTACAGAAGAAAGGCACTTATTTCAACTAGCGATTCGCTTGCGTGTGGTTCTGACAGCGTAATTAATTATTCATGAATGCCGAAAAAAAGCGAGTCCCTTTGTTTGGGTAAGACAAAAGAGCGAGTTGAAATAATATGGACAAAGCACAAATGTAGTTGGAACGCAGTAATGTTTGGAGGTGGGCTAGTTGGGGATGCATTCATATGTTTTAAAAAGATGAGAAAGAAAGTAAGTCGTGAGTCAGCGCTGTGTCTGTGTCCCTTCTTCTACTTGTCCTTGTGTTCGTTTGCGCTGTTTTTATTTATATGTTTAGTTGGAACGCAAAGGGACCCCCGACAAACCGGATTCTAATTATAACCAAAAATTCGCTGAAAAAGAAATTGGTAAGCGATGAACGCATTATTTGTTAATCGATAGAGAAATCAATTTATTTCGCGGCTCTATCTGCACTTTCATGTTAGTGCCCTTTCTCCCACAAAGACACATGCATATACACAGAAACATCAAACACACACACACACACGCACACACTAGGGAATGTAGACGAGAAGTGCTTCTGCGCACCAGAAGAAAGCAACTTCGCCTTCGTCCTTGCATTTTCTCATTAGAAAAAAAATTGGTCGTGATACCAAAGTTTCTGCATAGTTAGCGCATGCAACCGAGAAGTCAAAACTTTACGGTTGTCGTTCATTCCTAAGCAATGTTGCTAACTCAAAAATTTACAATTCCGTAATAGGAACGTTGCCATCCAGAGCTGTTAAGCTCTGGCGTCGTTCGTCAGAGTCGCCAGAGTTGCACTACTTGACCGAAATTTTGCCGAAAGTAATCAAAGATAACGGCCCCATCGACTCTTTATGACCACTCATCTTAGTCTTTTCACCACTGATAAACGGCTACATTGTAGAACTCTATAAAAACGCTAGAGAACACTGAAAGAGAAGCTACCATATTTAGCGGGAAAATAGCTAACTTAGCAACACTGATTCAGAATGTGTACGACACTGCTACAAAAGGTGCAGACGCAGGCACACTGTAACACTGTTCATTAGTGTGTACTAAATTTTTGACAAGAAGTATTAGCTACGCTTCGCAAGTCGTAAAGCGTTTTCCTTTTAACGACCACTTGTTTCTCAGCACGCGTTTAAAATCAAACTTTTGCAAAAATTGCGTGACGTCCTTTTTGGTCATTTTACGCACCCGCCGTTTGAAAAACTTTCGAGGATAATACAACAAATCCGTGTAAAGCTATCAAACGGACATTTCTTGTCGAGCAGAGGCTCACTGTATGATACAAATGTGCCTAATTTGTTATCTGCCCGAACTGAAAAAGCATGTTTTCCAAAAGGACGCTCCAAGCTACGCGATCCTCTGCGCGAGCCGTATGTCCCAAGTGATCTCCACGAGCATCAGAGCATGCGTGGCCTTCAGCCTTATGCAACCGGTTTCAATAAAATATGTTGGCAATTGGACTACGGCGTTTGTTATTGTATAAAAACTTGGCTAAAAGGCAACACTACCAGCCAAGGCTATTTTCAGGATAATTACAATGTTTCCTTCAACGATAGAAGTGATCTGCAACAACATATTTAGATGCAAAGTATATCATTGCTACCCAAAAAAAAAAAAAAAAAAACAATTGTCGCGGCTCAAAGGTTTTAGCTTCCAACTACCACCAAATGTTTCACAAGGAATGGGAACGATAGGGAGGTACCTTGGCGGCCGGGTAAGCCAACTTATCTCTAAACAGGATGGTGAAGCAGTGAACATCGTTTTGTGCAGAGTCACTCAATAAGCAAGTCTGAGAGTAACGATTTTTCATCCATCTTGTTCATAAAAATCATTGTTGCCAGTTCTCTTAAGCTTTAAATGAAATTGAACACAACGTTTATCCGCCTTCTAGAAATGTTACGACAGTTCACAAGAGCGCAATGAGGGTATCGCATAAGCTTCCTAACTTCGTACCTGAAGCTCGGGAAGTCGGATTCTCGAATATTAAACCATCGCGAATTGCGCACGTTCTGCACCAGGCAACAAAATGGTGACTCTAGCAAAACGATTTGAGAATGGGGTACGTGGCTACTCTAGGCGCGGCTTATTTTGGGAGCTCTGGTTCTGCGCGTAAAAATATTGGAATCTTTAAAAAAAAAAAAGTATATTCTAGGAGACTGCTAAGAAAAACTATACGTACATTAAGCTGGAGATGCTGCATCAGTCGACCCTCTTTGTTTCTGGATAAGAGAACGATAAGTTTTCCTCGTATGTAGCTTATCTGGTTAAAGTTCAGTTGCTGTTTTTTTTTGTTTTTTTTTTTTGTGGTTGTATTTTGTTTTGGGGGGAGCGGGGGCGATTGCGGGGTGCAAAGTTTGTCCTTGCTAAGTGTGGGATAAGTTGTTCGTGGTGTGAAATTAGTCGTTTCTTCGCGCCTTGTTCTTGTCTGTTTCGGTTTTCGTGGGCAGTCCATCCCTATTGTATGTCAGGGTACACTGTGCAGTTGTAGGGGGAGTGGTGTTTTTGAATCTGTGATTTAGGCGTGTACAAGGCGATTTTTGTTGAATAGACGTCCGGGGCTGTACTTAAAACTTCGTTCTTCTGCCTTTTTTTTTCTGGAAAAAGGGGTTTGGGGGGGGGGGGGGGTATCATGAGATTAAAAGGGTCTCGTGTTTACTATGGACTCCACGAACCAAATAAACTACGCCACGCAAAAAGCGCTGCGTCACAACGTGTGTCATCTTGCTTTAGGTATGCTCCTACCGGATGAACCAATCGACCACATATAAATGCGCCATGATTTCACGATTTTGTCTGCTTGTTTGGCTTCGCATGCAGTTGAGGTTGTTGTTGTTGTTTTGTTCACACGAAAGAACAACCTGTATTTTTTTTGTCGGAATTTTCAAGGTATTTAAATGGTCTTGCGCACCGAACCAATCTTTCACGAAAGCCATGCGCACGTTTATTTTAACTGAACGCCTTACGAGTCCCAGTAATCAGCAAGACGGCGACGCCAGGGATGTTTAGATAGAGCGTTGCGCTCACACTTTTGGGGAGTTTAAAAAAGCGGTTTCGCGAGCGCAACCGACACCCACTATGCTAATCGAAGCCTGTTCATTTCTTCTGCCTTTATGAAATGTAATCATACCACGAATGCGCCAGCTCAGCGATTGAGACCAAACCGGAACGTCGAGTAAACTCACTGACTGAATATGAGCCCCAGCACGAGGTCTGCAGATCATGTTTCTGTTCGAGATTAGAGTGAGGGCTTCAAAATATAAGTATAAGGCCTATCTCCGAGTTTAGATTGGGGGTGCAGCGTGTCCCCGGGTCAACAGCCCCCTTACAAAAAATTTATATCTGGCCAGATCTGAAGATTTCAGATATGGCCATATCAAAAATTGGCCACATATAACCTGATATAGTATATCTGCCAGATATAGCCTCATAACGCCAGATACAGCCTAAAAACGCCAGATATAGCCTCATAACGCCAGATATAGCCTGATATCCCTGGCTAGGTATGGAAATCCCAGATCTGGCTAATTAAGGAAATTCCAGATCTGGACAGGCATTTCAAAAAGTCACAAGCCTGAAATCAGCACTTTATATCTTTTTATTGTCTACGATTCTCCCAACTGCCCCGGCCCGCACTCGAGGAGTTATGGTTTTGACCAATTCCATGATTACACAGTTTCGAGTGTAATTCGTAGTCACCCTGAACAAGCGTCTCGTAGGGCTCAAGTACCTGTCATATCACTTTTAAATTTTCTAGTCAATAGCAGCGCTTATGACACTGTGCATTCTGTCCAACCTTCAACCAAGT